TGAGCTCTGCACTGATGAGGGCAGGCCTGGAGCTCTGAGTGCAGCTCTGGGCTCCCCAGAGCCACTGCTGGGCTCCTGCTGGGCTGAGCTCAGCATTGATTCACACACAAGGACCTGCAGAGCTCGTGGGTCTGTGCCAACCTCCTGCCCAGCAAGGCCAAGGTCCCACATGTGGGGCAGGGCTGTCCCCAGCACAAGAACAGCCTGGGTGACAATGACTTGGCACTGAGGAGAGGGATGTGGGGGTTTGGGGAAGCTCAGCATGACTTGGCAATGCATGCTTGCAGCCCACAAGGCCAATTTCATCCTGGTCTGGATAAAAACATGGCCAGCAGGTCGAGGGAGGTGTTTCTACATTAATTCATGGCAAGCCTGCTCCTCAGGCTCATTCAGTCACATGCTGCCACCAAGAATTTCCTGATATCAGGAATATATAATAACAATAATGATGATGATCATCATCAATATTATACTAACACAATAAATTAGAATAATATGATAATAATATTATAATATCTGGTATCAGAATATCCTGATATATTTCACTGACAGCAGTGAAACATCATCTTTGATCTGGTGCATCCATGGTAACTTCTGCTTAAGTTCTCACTGAGTGCCCCTGGTGCAGCAGGGCTGGGGAAGGTTGTTCCAAACTGCTGCAGGCTCCAGGAGTGGCTTGCAATGAACACTGCAGGCAGCAGATGGAAGCAGCAGCCTGAACGTGCAGAATTTGTGCTGCAGGCAGCACTGGACAGAGAGGAATGGCAAGTGCAGGAGCTGGGGAGGCTCTGGGGGTGGTTCAGATTTGCAGAACTGTGTCACAGGCACTGCTGGAGGAGTTTCTGGAGATGGCTTCGAATACAGCTGGAAAATTCACTGGCAGTGGAGAGCAGCGTGCTCAGCCTGAGCTCTGCCTCCTTGGATTCACTTCTGCACCACAGCCAACCTGCTCTGGCTTCATAGTTTGCCCATTACCCCAGTCCAAATATTGCTACAGAAATTCTGGCACATGGATTTCCACTCACTCTTTGGCCATGCCCATACACATTTTTTAGAAGCCTGGATTTGCTGTGCCTTAGTCTTGTCAAACCTGACCCACAGCATGAATCTCTGTTTAGAGGCCATGACTTGCATGCTGAGCCATTGATTTTCGTGCCAGCTCATCACAGACTGCTCCATTCTGACTCATCACTGACTTCCTGGCCTGCTCCACCTTCCCAGGGTGTCACCTGGCCTGTCCCATCCACAGCCAGTCCTTCTGCATCCCCCAGCTGGGCTGGGCTGCTCTGGACAGGTTCAGCTGCTGCCTCCTCCTCCTCCTCCTCCTGCTGCTGCTGCCAATTAAAATGCACAGCCCCCTGTTCCCCCAGTGAGAAAACTCGTTCTTGGGAATTCTTTTGGATGCATCACTCTGAATTTCCTTCATACACCTGGAATTACAGAGTCTACCAGGGGGTGACCTCTGAAGGCAACAAGCCATGATTCCTATCTTGTGTTCCCTGACCACAAATCCACCTGTATTTCACATTCCTGCAGGTATTAAGAACTCTGTAGTGGATTTGTGTAGATTTGTAAAGGCTCTACTTAGAGTGTACCTTATATGTGATACAGGTACCAATTAAATTAATTAATTAATTATAATTAATTTAACAGCACCAATTTAAAGGTTTATTTTTCCACGAGGAGGAGTTTACATAGACATCTTCATTCTCCTTCAAGAAGTTCTAAGGCTTCAGGAGCCTTTGTCTTGCAGTGTCAGTGCTTTCTTAGGGTCAGTTATTAAAACAAGGATTTCTGAAGGTGGCATGGCTTTTAATAGGGAGACAAACAAGCAGAAAACAAATTATTCCCTTGGAAAGCATGGACCAGAACTGTTATGTATGCCTTGCCCTAGTCCAGTCAGTTTACCAAAATGACAAAACTCATTGAGCTCAGATCTTCAAACTTGGAACAAAGCCTGGTGGATTAAGATTGACCACAAACTGTAAAAAATAGCACCAGGTCAGAGAAGAAAAAAAACCCAAAACCAAACCACTATAGATAACACAAGGACATAGCTTTAAGATAATCTCTGAATTCTTCTTCCCATCAGGACTTAAATAATTGAATAATTTTTCCTCCCAAGCAGAACCACTCTCTGTCACCTCTGCACATCCTCATTACTGGCTCCTTACAGCTCTTCCTGTACCAGAGGTGGGAAATACCAGAGGAGTGAGTTACAGCATCCAGAGCCCATTCCATCCCTGATGATGGGAGCCTTGGCATTGCCAGCAGGTCTGATAATGTGTCACATTGTCCAGGAGGTTAAACCATTTGTTAGCCTTTTGTCAGGAAAATTAATCCACAAGCACCAGAGGTTTATATCCAAAAAGGAGACAGAGGAGTCCTTTTACTTTATTTGAATAAAGGGAGAGGCCATGGGGCATTCCCCTGGGGTCTCTCCAATTTTTTGAGCCTCCCTTTTTATCCCAATTTCCCACCCACATTTCCCTCTCTCTTTCCCCATTGCTGAGGTACTTGAGAGGCACAGACTTCCCAGAACTCCTGATACCTGGAATTCCCCTCTAATGTATAACCCTCCCTTTTCATTTTTAATTCCTATAGAATTCTTGTTTTTCCCCCATTGTTTCATTCATCTTTCAATATCTCATTTCATTTACCAGCAAACCTGCAGTTTGTTTGTAAAGGCAAATATCTTTTTCCATTCATCAGTCAGTGGAATCCATCCCATTGTTTCCTTTATGTCTCAGTGCTGGTTTTATCAGCAGATCCACAGCTTGTTTGTAAAGACAAATCCATCATTCCTCTCACTTTAAAGACTGATTTCTTATCTCCAGTGGTACTAGATTTTGGAAGTTAGTAAGGCTAAATCTTAAAAGAAATCTTTATACTGTCTGAAAAGTTAAATTGCAGCTCAGCACAGACCTCTCTTTTACCATCCCTTGCAGCCAGGTGTTTGAGTGAATGGCAATAGAAAATGACATTTGTTTTGGCCTCTGGCCCAGGTACAGGACCCTGCTGGAGTCTGTTCTATTCATGCAGTTCATCCACATTTTGCCATGACCCACCCCCATTAACCTTCCTGACCAGGTTTAACCCCAGCACAAGGAATGAATTTGCATGCAAGGATCAGCCAAATTTTCTTACCTTGATAAGATGAGGGCTACTAAGGCAGAGCATTTGGTAGTCCTTACCCACAGTTGCCAGCTCAGCTCTTCTCTGTGCACTGTGTGCTCACTCCTGCCTGTGAAGGAGCTGGGAAAGCTGCTCCCAGTTTCCAGAGGCATTGGGAAGCTCCATGGATTAGAGAGATGCTCAGGATGCTCTGAGGGAGTGGGGCTGAGACCCTGTGGGGGTCTTTGTTCTCCACTGGGAGGAGGGAGTGGGACCTGCAGTGTCCTGTCTGCCAGGGGGTCAAGTTTCACACTGCCAAACCTGTTTGGCAGTGGGACAGAGTGTCTGAGGAATCAGGTAGCAACAGAGGATTAAACCTTGCAGAGGGGAAATGCTGCAAAAAGAATATTGAATTACCCCCTCACCTAATTCAACACTGATTTCGTTGGGCCATCATCATCTGTGCTTTCTGAAGTGGCTCAAAAGGGCTGGTTCATACCAGAATTGACTTTCTCTGAGTCTTACAACTCAATTTGTGTCCTGTTCCATTGATTCCTGGAAAGACTGACCTGGAACAGAGACTAGACAGAGCAAAAGGAATAAAATTAGTATTTATTGAAAGGATACACCTTGGGCAGTGCAAGAGGTGGATGGCTTTCATTTTGTCAGGAGTTAAGGAGTAAATGATTGAAGCTTGCTAGTAATGGATTGTTCAGATTTTTAAATTATCAGATAGTTAGGACATCTTTTCAGCAAATAATATAAGACATCAGAAGACAAGGATAATTGCAGATCTTAATCTGTGGGGACCATTTGTAAATTTGCAAACTGACTTTATTCAGATGCCTAAATACTGTCATTTTGACTATGTCCTTGTCAATTTTGAAATGTTCTCAACATGGCAAGAAGCCTGTAAACATGCTGATGAAAGAACAGCTGAAAAGAAAAGCTGGAAAAGAAGTTGCTAATACAAGAAATGTGTGGGTTTAGTAGTCTCTAGCTAAGGAGACTTTATGGGCTGTGTCGTGCACAGAACGTGCAGCCCTGCAAACAGAGGGAAATTCCTTTGCCCATCACCCTCAGCTCAGTGGGGCTGTGAAGAGGAAAGTGTGATAAATGTGATTCGTGCTAATTAAAT